GCGCGATTCTGCCGGCGGGTCTTGAAGGCACGAGGAGCATCCTCCGGGCAGCGGGCCAGGAAGTTCTCGTCGTAGGTCATCATCACCTTGTCGAAGTCGTCGTAGAACTCGGTCACCGGGCATTGGGACACGTAGAACTGGTCAAACGGCTCGTCGGCGATCGAAGACTTGGGCTTCCGGCCGCCAGTGGGAGCGGCGGCCTGCTTGGGAGCGGCGGTCTGCGGGGGTGAATCGGCCGGCACGTGGATATAGGTCTCGGTGATCTGAACCCGGCGGCCCGCCGCATCGGTGGCCTGGCGGGTGATCGGCCGGCCAACTGGCGGCATCCCAGCTGCCACGGCGGCATCCCAACCACCCGGAATAATCGGCGGCTTCTGGGAGCCCGCCGCCGCAGTAGTGGGCTGCTGCTGCTGCTGCTGCTGCTGCTGCTTGTGATGGCCCCGAGCCTGTGTCGATGACGACGACGGCGGCGGGGCAGCCACACCACTGGCAAAGGACTTCGGCGGAGCCGCCGCCGAGGGGGGAATAGCAGCGCCCTGGCCGCCGCCACCGGCACCGCCCGCACCGATGATGCCCTTGCTCTGGGTCTTGGCGGGGATGCTGCTGGAGGCCGTGGCCGTGGCCTTGGCGGTCGAGCCGATGAACGGCCGCTCATGACGCTGCTGCTGCTGCTGCTGCTTGAGCTGGAGACCGGAGGCAGCCGCCGCCTCGGCCTGGCCACCCGCCGGGTGAATGATCGACCGAGCGGCCGTGGCCCGGATGGCGCAAGCGGTGGACAGCTCCTGCATGGCCGCGCGGTGGAGAGCCACACGCTCGGCACGGCCAATGCTCTCGAGAGCCTCCACCAGGGCCGGATCCGGCTGGTTGGGAATGGCCCAATCCCACTCGCGGCTTTGCAGCGGCCCGATGAAGCGCCCGGTCATCGGCGGCGGCGAAGCAGCCGCCTCCTGACGCAGGAGCTCCTTCTCAATCAGGCGGGCATTCTTCTGGCGCCCAACCCAGGTGAGCTTCGGCGAATCGGCCATGCTGGCGATGCGGGCCTCATCCTCAGCACACCGGACATACGACACACCATGGGGGTTGGCGATGGTCGGGTGCGAGGCGTGAGACCGATGGCGACGGCCGCGGTAGTCCACACCCGGCAGGCGCTGGTACAAGTGCGGCAAGCCGTGCACACCGAACTTCGGCGTCCGGTTGATGTACACCACCCGGCCATTGATGATGGTCGCCGTCCGGGGAGCCGTGTAGGAGCTCTGGGCCGCAATGTCCCGAGCCGGCGGGCACCAGGCACCGGTCTGCGAGCCACCGGCACGAGTGGCGCTCGAGGGAGACAGACACTCCTCCGAGTCGGAGCAGATACTGGCATCCTTATCGATGGCGGCGTCCGTGCACGAGGCGGCTCCGCCAGAGGCAATTTCGACGAAGTTCCGCTGGTACGAGGTGCTGATGGGCGGGATCGACCGCGCCACCGCCCGAGCCTGGGCCGGGGTCAAGCACGGGGCCATGGTCCGGCGGTCGGCGATGCGCCCCGGCAGCGAGTGACGGGCACGCATACCCGCCCGGCCGGGGGCCTCCTCCGGGATGTCCAGCAGTCGATGCGGCTGCATGCTGCTTTGGGAGGAGAGAACCGCGGCGCGGAGGTCCACCGACCGAGCCATCTGCTCGATCAGGCTGTCACCGGCCGTCCGGGCACCGCCGTGAGCAGCGGCCGACGCGCCGCCCCACACCGGAGCACGAATGGACGCCACCCGGGGGATGGTGTCACAAAGCTCCCGGTGCAGGGCGCACAGGGCCTGCTCATGGCGCTCGGCGCATTGTGCCTTTGTGAGCGACGCGAAGTTCGAATCACCACCCACCCCCGGCCGCCAAGAAGGAGGCGGCGGGGCCATCGTGCGCGAGGCGGCCAGCGTCGCCGGAGGGCGATGATTTAGGGTGCCCGCGAAAAGAGGGACATCATCAGGACCGGCCGAGTAGGTCACACCCGAGGCCCGACGTGTGGGAGGCGGCGTAGCCGGCCCCGGCGAGGATGAAGAAGGAGTCATGGCCGGGGGGGAGGCACCGGAGACCGACGGGATCGAGTGATAGGCGAACCCCCCATAGTTGGCCGAGGAGGAGGACGAGGAGGAGGAGGACGAGGAGGGCGACGAAATCGAGGACGACCGCCCCCGCCGCCACCCAGTCCCGCCATCATCCGGGCCAAAGGCCGGCGCCGAAGCGGTGTAGTTTGACCGTGGAATGTCGCCATCATTGGCGGCAATAGCAGCCATCATGCCACCGCCGACGCCGCGGCCACCGGCGGCAGGGGAAGGGGGCCGATCCGGGTCAGCAGCCGAGCCGGTCGCCGGTCGCCGATAGCGGGCACCAGCCGGCGGGGGGGTGGCCAGCGACGGACGCGACGCCGGGGGATACCGTGCCGCGTGGAAGGAGTCATCCGGCAACCGTGCCAGGGCGGCACGCAGGCGCATCCGACGAATGGCATCGGCACCCAGGCCGCCGCGTGAGGAGGAGATCGGCCGCCCGGCCGAGGGAGACAAGGACGATCGGGGGGAAATGCCACCGCCATCACGACGATGACGGTGAGGAACATCACCATGGAGTTCGCCGGTCAGTAGCTTTCCGTAGTAGGCGGCGTTCTTGGGGCTCGGGCGCTGGCCAGGACGCTTGCCAAAGTGCTGCAAAGCCTCGGTCATCCGGGCCGGCGCGCCGCCGACCACAAACCAGAGATCGATCTCCGGCGGTGTGGCTGGCTGACTGACGCCGGCGTACCGGGCACCGGTGGCCGTGGGCATCTTCTTCTTTTTTTTGCACCACACGCAAGCACAAGCACGCGCGCACGGCAAGGAAGCACACACACACACACACACACACACACACGATAAGCCGGTGTCAGTCTGGGTCCGCCGGGGGGAGGGATGGAGGGAGGGGAGGAAGGAGGAGGGAGAGGGGAGGAGAGCGCGTGCGCGGTGGGGGGACCACCTCTCCTTTGGTTGCCATCGGGAGGGAGGCGCAGTACACGGTGGCATGCGGAGGCTGCGGGCCCTGTCGCCGCACACACCACACTCACACACATCCGCGCGCGCGCACACACACACACATACACACACACACACACATATATATACCTACACACACGTCGACATACTTTCTGCGATCACAAGAGGATCGTGGGATTGTGTGTCCAGTGTGTGTGCGTGTGTGTGTGCGTGCGTGCGTGCGTGCGTGCGTGCGTGCGTGCGTGCGTGTTCGTGCGTGCGTGGATGTGGGCGGGTCTGGGAGTCCGGGACTGTGTGGCACACGCAAGCGCGCCCGCATTTGGCCGTGCACCCAAAGGGGGGAGGGGGGAGCATGCGCCATTCGCGAAAATACGCGCATCACTCACCACCAAGTCGAGGCTGGTCTCTGGTCTTTGCTCCACGCACACGCATACACGGGGCGCGTCTATGCGCGTGTTACGCAGGTGACCCCCTGCGGGTCTCTAAAGTTCCCTGGGGGGTACACGCGCGCGCGCCCCCCCCCCCCCCCTTCTCCCTCCTCTCACCACGGAAGCCAGATGGTGGCGGGGCACACGCCGGGAAAAAGCATGCCATGGTCCCCGTCAAGTCTCTGCCCTCACGCCTCCCCTCACCCCGCTCCGCCTTGGCCCGCGAGAGGCTCTCCTCCGTCGCTATCATGCTCCCGCCCTCTCGCGCCTCCGACTCTTGTCCCTTCGTGTCACCCATCGCGCCTCACTTCATGGGAAGGCGAATTTGCCAACACGCGACGAGGGGAGACTGTGGGAGGAAGGAGCGGGAAGAGCCGGGAGGGAGATGGAGGATCAAGCGAGAAGAGGACATAGCTCGGAGCGAAGAGGGGAGAGAGAGAGGGGGGGGAAGAGGGAGAGATGGAAA